ACCTCTATAAGATAGGAATTCCTGGAGCCAGGCATGTAGCTCAGGAGTGCTGTGCCTGCCTGTTAAGTATAAGGTCCTGAGTTCAATCCCCAGTACTGGGGATTGGGGGGGAAGGTAGGAATTACTTTGAAAAAGTAGATAGCCTCTGGTTAAGTAACACCCAGTTAACAAGGTTAATGAATAGTAGTGCCAAAGTTTGAACCACAGATCCATCATATTCTCAAGACCTACTTTTATTTATTTTTCAGTACTAGGGATTGAACCCAGGTTCTTGTGCATGCTAGGCAAGTGCTCTACCACTGAGCTACATCCCCAGCCCTTTGTTAAATTTTGAGATAGGGTTTTAAGTTGCTTAGAATGGCCTCAAACTTGTGGTCCTTCAGCCTCCCAAGTAGCTGATAGTACAAACCTGTGGCACCATGTCCAGCCCAAGGCCTATCTTAGTTTCGTTTGGTTTGGTTTGGTTTTGGTGCTGAGGAGTGAACCCAGGGCCTTTTACTAACTAAGCAGACACTCTGCCACTAAACTGTATCACCGGCTCCCAAGGCCTGTTTTAACAATACTTGGTAATGCGTCTGTCTAAACAAGCACACAGATATAATAGCCTCTTGGTGAATGAACAGTTTTGCAGGAAGCCATGTCAAACACAAAATTGCACAAAGTGTAATTATGTTAAGTGCTTTGGGGACGTAAACGCATAGGGTGCCACAGAACCCTGCCTCCCCTTACCTAATCTAGCATAGGGAGTCTTGGGAAATGATTCAGCTGTCACGGTTCTGTCTCTCAAGTTTCTGGCTGCCATTCCTTAATAAGGTTTCTGACTTGTGTCTGACTTTTCCAGTCAAACCCCAGATCTTTATCAGAGTAACTTATTCCTTGCTAGATTCTGGCTATTGTCAGTCACCAGTGGGCTGTGGGTTAACATGAATGCAACAGTCATTTTGTTCCATTTCCACCAGCACACTAGGTCCCGTTTTCTGATGCCCTGATTGCTCAGGCACTTTACCATGTCACCTCTATTTCCTGTCAGAACTAAACTTTCGTTCTCCACTAGGCTTCTCTATGCCTATTCTTTCTCTGCGTCAGATAGAATGAACAAATTAAAGCATATGGTGCCTGTGTCTACATCTTGTTCGACAATTTTTGTTTGTTTGTTTGAGACAGTGTCTCATGATGTAGTTGATGCTGACCTGGAACTCACTATGTAGTCCAGCCTGGTCTCAAGCTCACAGCGATCCTCCTGCCTCAGCCTCCCCACTGCTGGGATCATAGGCGTGCACCAACATGCCCAGCTACACAATATATTTTCTAATTGTCACAGCTGCCCATTGTTTTCCTTCCTGATTGTGCACTTCCTCCTCCTGTGAACTCTGGTTTTTGTTTTGTTTTGTTTTGTTTTTATACTGAGGATCTAACTCCAGACCTTGCACTTGCAAGGCAGGCGGCAGAACCACTGAACTAAATCCTTGGGTTCTTGTTGTCTTTGCAGTTTCATCTCACAGTTTATATATTTGTGTTTGTATGTGAAGTTTTTTCTTGATGGTTTTTTGGGAGCGGGCCATATATTTTTGATCTTCACACGTCCTTGCTGAGTAGATGAGTTCTTTCAGTGAATAATTGATAGTGTGTCCCATAGGTTACAGTGTAGCATGCTATTGTTTACAAAGTGCTTTGGAAAAATACACCTTTGTTCCTAATGCAGATCTTGTAAAGGAGGTGGAATCTTCATCTACAAATAAAGTGAGGCTCAAATATGTGAAAAGTCTTCCTAAAAATCCCAAATTTCCAATTAATAATGGTGTGAAAGCAAATGATTTGGTTGTAACCACTATCCACATTTACCTACTATTTAATTTTAATTTTTTTCATTCATTAATTTTATTGGTACATTTTAGGTGTACTATGCTGATGTTAATCATTGGGAATCTGTACCTTTACACGATGTATCTTGGTTCTTATTTTTTTCCCCATTCTGCCCTCACTTCAACCCCTCCACCCCTCCTTATTTACAAAGACTTTTGTTTTCCTTTTCTTATATTTATTTCTTTCCCTGTTTTTCCTTCCCTTCCCCTTCCCACTTCCCTTTCTCCTTTGGACCTTTTCTTCCTATTTCACATTATCTTTTTTTGTTTTGTTTTGTTTTTTGAGACAGGGTCTCACTATGTAGTTGAGACTGACCTGGAACTCACTATGCAGCCCAGGCTGGTCTCGAACTCACAGTGATCCTCCTGCCTCAGCCTCCCAAGTGCTGGGATTACAGGCGTGTGCCACCACGCCTGGCTTCACATTATCTGTTATACATTTTGATCCTTATTTATACTTTCAGTTTCTCACACCAGAGAAACTATTAAGTATTTACATGTGTGTCCTATTTATTTCACTTGAGTATGGCCTCAATATGCATCCATTTAGCTATAAATGTCTCTAGTTTCTCATTCTTTATGGCTGAGTAGTACTCCATTTTATATAAACACATTTTATTTATCCAGTCTCCATTTGATGGACAATTGGGCTATTTGCAAGTTTTAGCTATTACAAACTGCTGCTGTGAACATGGGTGCATACATAATTGCTGTGGTATGATTCTTAAAATCTTCTGCAAAGCAAGAGAAACCACATGAAGTGACAACCCACAAAGTGAGAAAAAATTTTTACCACCTGTTCCTCAGACAAAGGTCTACTATCTAGAATATATAAAGAACTTTTAAAAAAGTCAGTCCTCCCAAATGTAAGACCCAATTCAAAAATGGGCTTCTGAAATGAACAGACATTTCTCAGACAAGTAGAAATAGCAAATAAACATATAAAAAATGTTCAACATCACTGGTCATTCATGAAATGCAAATGAAAACAATGCTGAGATTCCACCTCACCCCAGAAAGAATGGGTGCTATCAAGAAATCAACCAATAACAATGCTGGCAGGGCTGTGAGAAAAAGGAACTCTGCTCCACTGTTGGTGGGAGTGTAGGCTGGTGTATCTGCTGTGGAAATCAGTATGGAGATACTTTGAAGAACTAGGATTAGAGGTCCAGTTTGAGGCAGCTACTTATCTACTATTTAAGGAAGTGCATTTTGGTTTTTTGTTTGTTTATTTTTTTTGGTACCAGGGATCGAACTCGGGTCCTTGTACTTGTGTTGCAGGCGGCAGTCCTGCTGAGCTAAATCCCCGGCCCAGGAAGTGCTTTTCAAATTCTGTCTCCTCAGATCTCTCCTCAACCTCAACACATCTCAGTGTTTTCATGTCACATAAAAATACCCAGTTTCCACTTCATGGAGTTATTGGGAAAGTTCCATATTGCACTGTCCAAGAGGGTATGTAAGACTTAAGTCTCACTTTTACTCCTGGAACATGAACAGCCAAGAGGCTTCCACGATGCTGGGCTCAGAAGCTCAGCGAAGCTCCAGGAGCTTGTCGGACAGCAAGAGTCACCCAGGAAGGAACACACCAGGCATGTTGGCAAATAGACCTTTATTAGTCTGGCCAGACGGCACTCCCCAAGCCAAGTAGCTCAGAGAGGCGGCTAGCTCAGAAACAGAGGCCATTTTATATAGGGCTAAGGGGGTGTTTACACTTAAAACTTACAGGAAGAGGACAAAGGCAAAGAATCAGTTGATCTGAGCTAGTGGTCATCAAGCATATACTTGACCGTCACGTATTAATGATCAGCAGATCGATTATCCATTATTCCATTTACAACTTAGATTATAATGCTCAGAACATTCAACTACAGGCAAGTAAGGAGTGGCGTGATTTATGTTAGGTCTCTGTATTCACTACAGTTTCCATTTAGTTTCCCAGCTACTTCAAAGCAGTTACCTAACAATTCACAATTAATCATTAGTTATCCTATAAGGGATGGGGGGGAGCGACAGTCTCTAGGTCATGTGCTGGTCAACATGGAGTCGCTCTGGTTCACTCAGGCTCTTACATTCCCCACTGATTTTTGGACCTAAATCAAATCTTTGATTAACTTATATCTGACTCTGGGCCTTAATAAAGGAACACATTGTAAAAGACAACAAGTTATTGCAATACAAAATCCTAATGCCATTATACAGAGTATCAGTTATCTTACCCAGGTAATGTCAGGTAACTAACTTGTTAACTATTTAAATAAATCCCACCCTATCTGTTCATTATGAATTTTTGTAGCTAAATCTTTGAGCTTTTCTATGTCTTGTTCTATAGCTGGCCCATTATGTGTTAAATTGAAGCAGCACATATTTTTAACCCTCTCACAACCTTGGTGATGAAATAATAGCAATTAATCAATTGCTGCCCTATTATCTAAAATTGCTTGTCTCTGTTCCTGGAGTTCTTGATTAATTAGTGCCAGCATTGCAGAGGTGGTATTTAACCCTTTAACTACCTTGCAAGCTAGTTTTCTAACTGCCTTTTCAGCATGTACTCCAATTGAGGGTATACCTATCACAGAAATAATCATAGGAATAACTTCAGCATTTGTTAAAAGTCCTACATCATCATCACAGCCTGGTGAAGTGCAGGGAGACCAGCATTTTGTTCTGTTGGGTGGTGAGAGGTCTCCCCTGTCAGGTAAGACGACTGCTAATTTACTAAGACAAGAGCGGGCCTCGGTCAAGTTTGCTGGGATGTAATTATAAGTTATTCCCTCACAAGTATAAAACTATCCCAGTGGCAAAGTAATATGGCATTTGCTATAAGGAATCTTTTGTTCTCTAGAACACTTCATTACATCTGTTTGTTTAAGATTTAAATACTGGGAAGTACAACCTTTATATTTGGCACAGAGAATCTTATTGGACTTAGCTACTCGAGGGGTATATAGCTTAATAGCATTCTTCGGTTTGTAACATGTCACTTGTCCCCAATTGTAACTATCCAAATAACTGAGATTTACTTGTGGGAAATTTTTAAACATAGTATATGGTCTAATACTTTCAAGTGGGGTGCATACTGGAGCCAAACAACTTCCAAGCACATAATGAAAATTCACATCAGCATTTAAACATATTTCAGACAAATTTAAGGATTCAGCTAATTGCACCCAAACATTTTAGTATGACCTAAGTTCTGTCTGGACAATGCTATTATTGTCCCAAGGGAAATCACCCAGATCATAACGAAGGTCCAGTTGAGCGGAGTTTTACTTTCAATTCTCTGGGTTTGCTGACAACACTCCATTTTCCGTGCGCCTCTGTTGTCCGGTCCGGGCTTGAAGTGGTTGCGATGGATCCACGTCAGGTGTCCCGCAACCTTCACAGCCAGAGGAGTAGACAGAACAACTGGAAAAGGCCCCTTCCACCGTGGTTCCAAGATCTTGGAGTCAAACCTGCAAATATAAACCAGTTCTCCCAGCTTATAGGGCAGTGGCTGTAGAGGTTTCTCATGAGGAAAGGTCAGAGATCCTCTAACCTGGTCTTGTAGTTGAGACTGTATTTCATGTAAAGCTCTCAGAGACTTAAGCAACCTCAGATGAGAGAATTTCTCCTTTAATTCCATATCTATATGGGGAACCAAGGGGGGAGTACGCCCATAGATAATTTGGAAAGGTGACAGATTCAGAGGAGGCTTGGGAGTACATCGAATACACAACAGAGCAAAAGGGAGAAGCTCCACCCAACTTAATTCAGTCTCTAGGCTCAATTTAGTTAAAATCTCTTTTAGTGTTCTGTTAGCTCTTTCTCCCTGTCCTGAACTTTGAGGTCTGTAAGCACAATGTAAATTCCATCTAATTCCAATGCTTAGGCTAATCAGTTTAGACACTTTTGCTGTGAACGCTGGGCCATTGTCAGACCCCAGGGCCAAGGGCAAGCCAAATCGGGGAACTATCTCAGTCAGGAGCTTTTTTACTGTTACCTCAGCTGTTTCCTTTTTAGTAGGGTATGCCTCTATCCACCCTCAGAATGTGTCTGTGAAAACTAACAAGTAACCATACATGCCTAGTTTCATTTCGGTGAAGTCCAGTTCCCAGTGTTCTCCGGGAGTTTGTCCCCTATATCGGACCCCTGGGGGCCCAGTTACCCGATTCGCGTTTACCTTGAGGCAGGTGGGGCACCATCTCACTTTGTCCCGGGCCTTCTGGGCTAATTCTCTGCTGACAAAGTGGGGCGGTAGCAGGGCCATCATACTCTTTTCTCCTAGGTGGGTGGATTCATGGAGCTCATTTAGCAAAGTGTCGGCCACCAGCTGGCAGAACGACCTTCCCTTCATCTGTCGTCCACCATCCATGCTTTCCTTTGGTCCAGTGGTTCTTACTCATCTCCGTTATTTCTTCCTCTGTATATTTAGGCCTCTCTGGGAGCACGGGTGTAGGTAGCAGCACCATTTGTTTCCCCACTGATTTTTGGGCAGCTTGCTTTGCTGCCTGGTCAGCTGCATTGTTTCCAATCACTTCAGGGCTGGAATTCCTTTGATGTCCACGGCAGTGAATGATGGCATCCTCCCTCGGCAGCCAGATGGCTTGCAGCAGAGCCAATATCTCAACTTTGTTTTTAATTTCTTTCCCGTCTGATGTTAAAAGTCCTCTATTCTGGTAAATTTCTCCATGTACATGGGCAGTAGCAAAAGCATAACGGCTATCAGTGAAAATATTTATCTTTTTCCCTTTTCCTAATTCCAGAGCCTTAGTTAAAGCAATCAGTTCGGCCTTCTGTGCTGACATCCCTTGAGGCAGCCCCTGTTCCCATACTACCTGTTGATCCTGATTGACTGTTGCTGCTCCCGCATATCGTACACCTTCACGTACGAAACTGCATCCATCAGTGTAGTATGTTGCCTCAAATCGGGGAAGGGCCAGGTCCGTCAGATCTGGACGTCCTCCCTGCAGATTTTCAAGAGTCTCAAGGCAGTCATGGATGGGCAGTTGGTCATCTGACTCAGGGAGCAGACTAGCAGGATTCAGGTTAGATGTTGTGGCAAATTTAATGCGCGGCTGTTCTAACAAGAGTCCCTGGTACTGCAACAATCTAGCATTTGATAGCCATCTACTTGGTGAGTTGTGCAGCAGGGGCTCAATGGCATGAGGAGTGATCAGAGTTAGATCCTGGCCAAAAGTCAATTTATCAGCTTCCCGAGTTAAAGCAGCAGCTGCAGCTACCATCCTTAAACAAGACGGCCATCCTCTGGCCACTGGGTCAAGTCTTTTGGTTAGATAGGCTATAGGTCACTTCCAAGGCCCCAAAGACTATGTGATCACTCCTTTTGCCACTCCGTTCCTCTCTGCCACATATAAGGTGAATGGTTTATTTAAATCAGGCAGGGCTAAGGCTGGCGCTGTGGTGAGCACAGTCTTGAGCGTCTGGAATGCTTGCTGGCAAGCCTCTGTCCATTCAAGGGGTGCGTTCCCCACCCCCACCCCGCCATAGCCTCATGCAGGGGTTTGGCAATTTCAGCAAAGCTAGGTATCCAGATTCTGCAGTATCCTATGGCCCCCAGGAACTCATGCACCTGCTTCTTTGAGCTGGGCATGGGGATCTGAAGGATCGCTGACACCCTGGATTCAGCTAACTTTCTTTTTCCTTTTTCAAGAACGTAACCCAAGTAAGTTACCTTGGTTTTGCAGAGCTGGGCTTTCTTCCAGGACACTCGATATCCCAGACCTTGTAGGGCCTCCAGGAGTCCCTCGGTGGCTGTGAGACATTTTTTCTCGGTTATGGTCACCACTAAGAGGTCGTCTACATACTGGAGAACAGTTGCATAGGGAAAAGCTTTCCTTACCTCTTGTAGATCTTTGCTGAGAGCCTCCCCGAACAGTGTGGGGGAGTTCTTAAAGCCTTGTGGCAATCGAGTCCATGTCAATTGTCCAGTAGTTCCAGTGTCCGGGTCTGTCCATTCAAATGCAAAGAGCAGCTGGCTTACTGGTGCCAGGGGCAGGCTGAAAAATGCATCTTTGAGATCAAGAACTGAATACCATACTTGTGCAGGCGGAATGAGGCTCAGCAGTGTGTAGGGGTTCGGTACCGTCAGGTGGATGGTCTCCACCTGGCTGTTTACCTCCCACAAGTCCTATTCTGGAGAATTTTCTTCTTCTTTGATTAGTTTAAATTCTTCTTATTTCCCCATTTCATTTTTCTCCCCTTCTGTATAAAACCCTCTTCTGCCATCATCATTATATTTGCCCTTGCCATCTTTTTAGTTATTCTATCTTCGGGTGGATCCCTGTTGGTGAACACCTTCATTGCTACACTTATCAATTTTTCCCTATTCTCTCCTTCAAAGCCCTCAATTCTCTGAATTTTTTCCAAATATCTGGGGCCAACTGAGTTACAAAAGCCAGATTAATTGCCTGCCTGTTCGCTGGAGCATCTGGGTCAATTGGAGTGTACGTGCGGTCCGCCTCCAGTAAACACTCCAGGAAGGCAGAGGGGTATTCCTCAGGCCCTTGTAGGACCTCGCTTACCTTGCTCAAATTGGTAGGCTTGCGAGCAGCTCCCCTAAGGCCGGCCAGGAGATGCTGACGGTAGTTGCAAAGAGTTTCCTTACCTCCGGTGGAATTTGATTCCCATTTGGGATGGGAGATGGGGAGTTGTGCTTCAACTCAGGCCTGTTGTTGTTGGTCGTCTAAAAGCCCCTCAGCTCCCCCCAGCACTGACTGAATAGCGTGTCTTCTAATTCTTTCTCGTTCCTCGGATGTGAACAGAGCCTGTAAAAGTTGCTGACAATCATCCCAGGTGGGGTCATGGGTATTACCAGGTGGGGATGGGTATTAAACACAGACTTGAGGAGGGAGATTAGGGCTTGCAGCTTCTCAGAGAACGGGGGATTCTGGTGCTTCCAGTTATATAAGTCACTTGTAGAGAAAGGAATGTATACATAATGACCTTGTTCTCTATCTCTCAATGGGAGCACAGGGACTGGGTCCGGTCTCTCCTGGGGTGCCTCCTGGGGCCCATAAGCAGAGAGAGCCCCCTCCGGTAAGGGAAGGAGAGGTGGTGGAATCCGGGATCTCCCCTTCTTTCAGGGGAGATGGGTAGATGGACTTAACTTCTGCCTCCTCAGGGGATGGTTCTGCATGTGGAGGGGTCTTAACCCGGGGTCAGTAGGCTCTAAGGGGTCCGGCTCCTGGGAGAACATCGGCCTGGGTGCCTGCCGCTTTGCGGACTTTATCCCATTTGGTACCATTACCAGAATACGAGAACCGGTGCGCAGGGAGCAGTGCTGCAGCCATGCCGGAGGTTCTTCACAGGCCTGGGCCCAGACATTAATATAAGGGAATTGGTCGGGGTGGCCAGGGTGTTCAATGACCTTTGCCCATACTGCCCGACAAAGTCTTGGTTCGAAAGGACCTTCAGCTGGCCAGCCCACTCCGAAGGTGGGCCACTCCAAGTTGCAGAGGGTTTGGAGTTTCCCTCGAGAAAATTTCATTCCATATTCATCTTCCTGCTCAGGGGAAAAAGCCAATTTAAAGTTAGTGAGAAAACAGTCCAATGGGGTATTTTTGGAGCTCGATCCTCCCATCTTGTTCCTAGGAATGAATGTAAAGTTAACACTCAACAGACAGGACACAGACAAGACACACAGGCGCCACACAAAAGAAAAAGAACTTAGATTCTATCCGGAATCCTCATCAGGGCCAGGGTCAGGGCAGGCTTCCCGGCTCATCAGCCACCTCTATCCTGACATCACATGGTTGCAACCGATTCAAAACTTACCTCCGGAGGCTTTTCAAGTCTATGTCTGAGAATCTCCTGCTGGATCCTGCGACAGAGAATCTCGGCCGGATTTGCAGTTCCCACTTGGGGATCTCGCTGGGGCCTCCAAGATGTAAGACTTAAGTCTCACTTTTATTCCTGGAGCGTGAACAGCCAAGAGCTTCCACGATGCTGCGCTCAGAAGCTCAGCGAGGCTCCAGGAGCTTGTCGGACAGCGAGAGTCACCCATGAAGGAACACACCAGGCAAGTTGGCAAATAGACCTTTATTATTCTGGCCAGATGGCACTCCTCAAGCCAAGTAGCTCAGAGAGGCGGCTAGCTCAGAAACAGAGGCCATTTTATATAGGGCTAAGGTGGGGGGTTTACACTTAAAACTTACAGGAAGAGGACAAAGGCAAAGAATCAGTTGATCTGAGCTAGTGGTCATCAAGCATATACTTGACCGTCACATATTAATGATCAGCAGATCGATTATCCATTATTCCATTTACAACTTAGATTATAATGTTCAGAACATTCAACTACAGGCAAGTAAGGAGTGGCGTGATTTGTGTTGGGTCTCTGTGTTCACTACAGTTTCCATTTAGTTTCCCTGCTACTTCAAAGCAGTTACCTAACAATTCACAATTAATCATTAGTTATCCTATAAGGGATTGGGGGGAGCGACAGTCTCTAGGTCGTTTGCTGGTCGCTCTGGTTCAGTCAGGCTCTTACAGGTAGCCATTAGCCACATGTGACTACTTAAAGATAAAATGTGAAGTTTAGTCCTGCAACGCTATTCACATTTCAAATGGCTGCTGGGCACCATACCGGACAGGGCAGAGAAGGAACATTCCTATTGTGGCTGAATGTTCTGTTGGACAGTGCTGTGCTGGAGGCAGGAGAGTCAAAAATCAGAGACAGTAATATGAAGGAAGTGAAAAGACAAGCTAGGGGCTGGTTTGAGTGAGAAGGATAACGGGACTGGGAAGCAAGCTGACCTTTGGAACATGACATCACAAAGCACAGCTCACAATGGCTCCAGAACACTTGAACACCAAGACTGCTCTTCCTAACTCAGGTCTAGAGCCCTGAAACCTCTCAGCACATGGAGTTCCTGGAGCTGCCGTTGTCTTAAAATGTCATCATCTTCACCTTCGTATTCTACCTGGGACAACCTCTTAGATTCTCTCTCTCCCAACATGATATGGAATTGGATACAAACAACTTTTCTGGGAGAGACGACTATGCCTCAGCAAACAAATTTGGGGCTGATAGATAATCTTGCTTCAGTTGTCCAAGTCATCCTTCGGGTTTCCTTTTTTATTTTGTTGGGAGTAGGATTAATTGCTTTATGGAAACGAAGCATTCGGTCACTTCAGGTTGTATTCTTTTGCTATAGATAAATTTAAATAGTTATAAATTGAAGTTTTGTGGTACTGGAGATTGAACCCTGAGTGCTCTACCTCTGAACTGCATCCACCCCACCCCCTTTCTAAGACAGGGTAGCCTCTAGAGTGCTGGGTTTACAGACACATGCCACTGCACCCAGCATAATTGAATTTTGATTAGTTCTCTACCATATTGCTGCCACCCAGTTTTAAGACCACACAAATGGACAAGGATAAACCTTGCCTCTTAACTTTTTTGAAACTGTTATCCTTGAAAACCTCTACCGATAAGGTTTTGAGCATAAAAATGCTCTTTTTTGACAATGATTTTGGCTTGTCTGCTATCATAAAATAGATTTCTTTCTTTCTTTCTTTTTTTTTTTTTTTTTTTTTTTTTTGAGACAGGGTCTCTCTATGTATTGAGACTGACCTGGAACTCACTATGTAGCCCAGGCTGGTCTCAAGCTCACAGCGATCCTCCTGCCTCAGCCTGCTGAGTGCTGGGATTGCAGGTGTGTGCCACCACTCCCAGCAAATAGATTTCTGAAGCCCATTGCCTGAGAAGGTATCCTTATCCCCAGTCTTACCTGATCACATATTCTTCTTTGAGTGCCTACCATGGTATAGAATAGACACTAGATAACTGGGATATTGGGTATGGCCTTTCTGCTCTTACTACGCCTTGTGTTTTATTTGTATTCATTAAGTTATCACAATGTTTTCATTGTTTCAATAAGACCTGCATAAACATACAGGAACTCTTCTTTTGGGAATATGAGTTTAACTAGCTAGGATTGTAAGGAACATTTAGTATTTTACATAACTTCTGTGTAATCATCAATAAAAATAGCTTGTAGGGGGCCCGGGATTTTGCTCAGTGGTTCTGCCTCCTGTCTTGCAAGCACAAAGGCCTGAGTTCGATACCCAGTACCCCCCCAAAAGTCACTAATAATAATAATAGCTTATTAATAATATGCTCAAAGTGTTTAGGGAAATCCCAGTAATCCCAACATGGACAGAGATTATTTTCCTGTGACAAAGGAGGACAAAGGTATTCTGAGGTCCGATGAAAATTTAACAAAACAGGATTAAAAGAATTTTTTGAGTGGTTAACTTGATACATGAAAGTGATACTGAAATGAAAGTTATAGTGAAATAACTTTGATAATGAAAGAATTACTGGATTATTTTGTAGTATTCACTTATTTTCATATATTGTTGTTGTTTAGGAATCATTGACGTGCATTTTCTACTTTAAACTCTCCCAACCCAGCATAATAGGCAGGGATGGAATCACCATCCATTTTGTATATGGAGAAACTTTGTTATCAACTGCCCAAATTCATATAGTTTGTCAGAGCTGGCAAAGCTGGGATTTGACCTCTCTGTCTCTCTTACTCTCTCCCTCTCCCTCTCCGTCCCCCGCCTTTCTGTTTTGAGACAAAGTCTCATTGTGTACCCCAGGCTGGCTTCAAACTTTTCTTTCTTTTTTTTTTTTTTCTTTTCTTTGAAACAACAAAACATTTACTGGTACACTTTAGGTACACATAATGATAACATTAATCATAGGGAATTTGTACCTGTGCTTGATCCATCCTGCTTCTTTTATTCCCATTCCCTTGCCCTGCCATCAATCCCTCTTCCCCTCCTTATTTACAAAAGCTGTTTCCATTTTTTCCTTCTATTCTTTTTTTCTTGTCCCTTCTCCCTTCCTCTCCTCCCTCCCTTGTTCCCCTTCTCATTTGACTATTTTCTTCTCATTTCCCAACTTAAGATCCTCCTGCTTCAGCCTCATAAGTGCTGGGATTACAGGCAGACAACACCACACCTGGCTCTCAAACACAATTTTTAGGGTTCTAAATTTCATTCCCCAAAATTCATTTAGTATAACCAACTGACTACCCAACAGGAGTGTGTGTATAGATACATTTTAATTAACCAATAAGAGGATATAAGGTAAGAAAGCAAACTTTCTAAGTTTGCTCAAGCAAAAAGATGAGCTTTCAGCTCTTCACACGCCTTATCCAATAAAGCGGGTAATGTAAGAGTGTTTTGGAGCATGGGCTCTGGAGTCAGATTGCTTAGACCTAAATCTGTTGAACCTTGCTCCGTGCCCTGAGAGCAATCACTAAGCCCAGTTTCCTGCAACACAGGGTTGCTAGCAGGACTTCTCTCATGAGTTGTTCGGAGGATTAAAAGGGATGGCTCATGTACAAAGCTTAGCATAGGCACATTCAGTAAGCAGTGTTAGTTACTGCGATAAGGAAAAGGATGGTTTGTTCGTAACCCAGTAAGAATCTGTCCTAGTGTATTTAAACGTTTTTTACATGACCAGAAAATGTAAGTTTTCAGATCATTATACTAGATTTCACTCCTGCCTCTATCATTTCCAACATATGACTTTAGATAATGAAATGACAGGGTCCACACTGGAAGGTATCTAAATGGTTATCTTGTTCAGTGTTTTTCTGAAGAAATAAGTCATGCAAGGTAGCTTGTAGCACAGAACCCAGCATGTGACAGACTTTAACCCAGTGATATTTATTATAACCTTTATTAATTAGAAGCAAACAAAATATATGACCTGCTTACTGCTCCAGTTTGTGCTAATAATCAAAAGACTAAATAGCTGGGCATGGTGGTGCTGCCCATTATCCCAGCACTGAGGAGACTGAGGCAGGAGGATCACCATGAATTCAAGGCCAGCCTGGGCTACACAGTGAGACCCTGTATGGTTCAAACAAAACAGAAGCAAAAACCCCAAGAGATTAAATAGGTGTGAAAATGTTTTGTTAAAGGAAGGGGTTGGCATAGGGATGAAGTTTGTGACTACTTTTTTAGATAGCTGGTTTTGTTTCATATCTGTGATAAACTGGCATTTAACATGAATGAACAAGTAACACTGAGCTTTTGTGTTTTGTTTTAGAAAATATTGTTGTTTATAGTCACACTCTACCAACTTTACAAGAGGGGCTCAGATTTCTTTCAGGCTTTGCTAGCCAATCCAGAAGAGGTTGGACGCCAGTTTCAAGACAGTAGTAACGTCTTCCTGTCCTTGGGTCTGCAAGAGAAAATTCTGAAAAAACTTCAGATGGTGGAAAACAAAATGAAGAACCTGGAGGGGATGATAGTTGCCCAAAAGCCTGCTGTGAAGAGGAATTGCTCCTCTGAGCACTACTGCAGCTGCTCCGATTGCCAGAGTCCCCTGCCTACATCAGGATTTAGTTCTACGCTTGAAATGTGATGGACTCCAGTCTTTTAGGGAGAAGCACTGTTTCCCTCGTGTGTGGTGGTGAATTACCAGAGAACTATATTAAAATTGCCCTGCAGGGGCTGGCTGTC